GCCTCTGGTGCTTCGTTTTAGGCGCTGGACTGGGTGTGTATGCCAAGCTGTCGGCAAACTTGCCCTATGCGATTCTGAGCTCAGTGGCAATTGGTGCTGCAGTGCTCTTTGGTCTGGTAGCTGCCCTGTGGTGGAAGGCTCCACGGCGCGGCAGCGATTAAAAACTATTTCAGCGGCCAAAAAAAAGCCCGGCACCCACAATGTGTGGTGACCGGGCTTCGTTACTTAATCAAACGTCTTCAGTTTCAATCACAGCGCCAGGCTGTAATTCATCCCAAAACCCTGTCTGCGCTGTAGCAGTGCTGGCTTTGAAGGACCAGACCTTGCGTGCGTCATCGGGCAGTGCCGAGAAGGGCACCGACTTCGCCAGAAGTTCGTCGATGTCGTATTCAAGCGTCAAACCCAAGCGTTGCTTGTGTTCCGTTCGCCGGCAGAAGGTGTCATGTTCCAGATTCTGCGCATGGGACAACTCAAGAACTCCATACTGCAGGTAGAACTTGTAGCCTTCGGTGATGCCGCTCAGGTGATTTCCCCGGTCAAACTTGGCAAGCATCCTGTCCATTTCCATGTCCTCAAGCATGCATGCTGATTCAATGTTGATGCCGAACGAGCTTTCCGTGGGTACCGACCACACCATCTCGCCATGTTTGTTCATGCGAAGCGCGGGAGCGCAAGGTGAGTCTTCCGTCATTGCTTCCATGAACGGATCCCTTAAGCCCGCCCAGGTGCTGCCATTGGCATTGGTGTCCCAGTTCTCGCCGACATAGATGAACCTTGCGTCGGGCAGCGGCGATTTAGGCGTCGCATAAATTTCAGGAATGTCATACCGGATGCCACGGGTGTTCACATCACGGTAGTCTGCCCAGCACTGAAAAGGCCTGGCCAATCCATGTAGAGACTGCATCGCATCGATGGCAATGATCATGTCCGTTGGAAGGATCTCGAACATCGGTCGCTCACCAGCATCGCTGGCCCGGTCTCTTTCATCTTTATCGAGCTGCAGCATGTAGCGAAACAACTCTCTGATCGTGGACGGATGGAAAGTATCTGGCTGAATGGCGATGTACCCCTTGCGGATGGTTCTGCCGACCCAGTGCCTGCGCTTCCAGTCGTATTGAATGGCGCGAATGAACTTGTTGAGCTTGTTGAGTCCGCGAGCGTATTCATATCTCGGCTCAAATTCGATCATGTTGGCTAGTGATCGATCTTCGGCTTTCATGCATGACCAACATCCCAACCTGGCCCCACAACCTCCGCCTTTCGGTCGATTGGTTCCTTCGTAGAGAGCATCTGCAACGACTGCGCAGGATGTGCCCATGCTTGCACCATAGATGCGTTTTGTTTCTGCGAAATCGGAGTAGGTGTCGATCAATTCCGAAGCTGCCATTCCAATTGCTTCCCAGACATCGTCGGTCGACCAAGTAGCAATAGGACACAGCACCAGATCACCATCTTTATTGAGCACTGGGTGATCAGCGTCGTCACGGCGCGCGAGCATCTTGGATTTCCGTTCTTCGCTTTCATCAAAGCGTGTACCAAGAATCGTGACCGGTTCAGGAAGACCTTCCGATTTGAGTAAGCGAAAGATTTTTCTGCGAGCGCCAATCATTGGCTGAACCTTTAAATCAATCGAGCAGTCGTTGCTGCCGCCGGCATATGACGGGATACCTCGCCCTGACAAGATCTTAATTTGAAAGGTTGATGCAAGCCCTGGTGTCGCAACGTTCGTAATCAATCGGATGCCATGTTTTTGCGCATACCGTTTCATCTTGCGAAGCTCACTCTCCACGTGAAGCGTAACTTCTGGATTTTCAACAAGGGTCTGGCCATTGCTGATCACAACGAATGGGGTCCCACCTATTGCAGCAAATTCCTTCGCGGTATTCAGTAGTAGCAAAGCGCAGCAGCTCGAATCCTTGCCGGCGCTGTAGGCCAGAACACAAGGCACTCCTTTTTCAAACAACCGCGTCAAGGCAGCTTTGGCCTTTGCGATTTTTTCTTCAATGGTCAGCGTCATCGCTGCCATCTCCGACTGTGAGAACATCTCAATGACTTGCATTGGTGTGTCCTCCAGATTCGCTGCAACTTGAACAGTGCAGCATGCCAGGCAGGTAGAAGCCCACCTGGCTTTTGAGACAGCTCTGCATGAGAGTCCTTTGGAAAATATGCTTCAACAACGAACGTGTTGAAAGCGGTACCCGATGTCTAGACGTCGGGCCTGGCTGGATACACCCAGCTGGTGTTTGGATTGCTCCGAAGGCTACAGTTTAGTTGGTGCCCTGTTTAGCGTCAATGGAGCTATGACGGAAAGCAAAACGCCCACCTGTTAATGGGTGGGCGTCTTATAAATCCAGCGAACTGGATCCCTGTGGCTAATAGCCGTCGTCGAGGTGTAACTTTCTTTTCCTGGCGATCTTGGCTTCGAGTTCCTTATTGCCCTTTATCAACGGCGGCGTCGCAATGGCAATCAGCAAAAAGCCGATAAACATTACAACGGTAAGCGCGATGGTAAGTGGTGAATCGAACATGATGATGGTTCCCATGGCCTGTAAACCTTGATTCTATGGGTTCGACGACGGCTTTTCAACCGCCGTTGTCACTCCAATTCTTCGAGGCAGACTTTGACAACTCATCTTTCACAATCGACCGGATCATCCCGGCCGTCTTGCGCCATCTCACTTTGGCTTTGTCCTCATCCAACATTTCCAGCCTTTCCAGTCTTTTGACCAGGAAAAGGGTGAACATTTGGCAGGCAAAGAACCATCCAGCGGCCAAGTAGTAAAAGCCTGGAGCTTCATGGCCAATGCCAGTCAGACCAGTTACTGCTACACCGTAGAAGGAGGCGTGGGAAACGATTTCCTTCAGCCATTCCAATTTCGCAACCGAACTATAGATCTCGCGAACTATGAACGCTTGCAGCAAAGGTACTACCTCGACAACGAACCCGACCAAAGCGCAAACAATGGCGGGGGCTAAAGCCACAACGATGGGTACGAATTGCTTCATACGTCTCTCCTTGTGGACATGGATGCAAACCGGCATCTCGGATCGACAGCTCCTGCTGTAAATATCACTGGCGTACAAACGCCTTGAAGCTGGTTTAAACCAGGCTCAAAGGGTCTGTAGGTAGTGAGCCGATAGGGCTCTGTAGTGATGCCCGAATGGGCGTAGAAGTTGGCTTGATAGCACTTCTCAGGGCGGGACTGTTGACGGGTGGCGCTTCACACGACTGCACTTGGCAATGCAATGATCCTACCAAAGAAAAACGCCCCCTGCAACGTGATGTTGCAGAGGGCATTTTGAGTGACAAAGCAAGAATTGCTTTTAAGGACTTAGTCCTCGGTGCCGTAGCCAGTGACGAAGTCGCTCAAGACGGCGATGCACTGTTCTGTGAATTTCCATCGAAGTTCAGTTTTAAAAACTTTCACCACCATTGGAAACTCATCAATCTTGCCCACGAAGGTCGTTTTGTTCGGTTCAGGACGGAAGGTATGGTCACTAATGGCCGACCTGAACGAGTCCATTTGGAAGTTCATCCCGTTCGTCTCGAATACGTGAGCGAAGTGATCCAGGACGTTCCTAAACTCGTTACTGGATGAGTAGGAAAATTCATAGCCGCCTTTGTAGCGATTTTCCAGGTAGCAATGGCACTTGAGTTCCACGATACCGGCTTTCACCTGGATTACCTGATCTTTCAGTTGGAACTTCCTGATCAAGGCAATTGCCACGCTGGACTTGACCCGTTTTCGTAGACACATTTCAGCTTCCAGTACGAAGCTGCTCGAATGCCAGCGGGCTCAGAAGGTCAAGATGACTGTGCCTGCGGACTCGATTGTAGAAACCCTCGATGTAATCGAACACGTCTGACCTGGCATCGTCCCGTGT